AAGAAAATTATAAAACTTTACTGAAGAGCATTTAAAAAGTTGGGGGGAAAGGGGGCACCTGGGTGGCTTGCCTCAGTCAGTTAAGTGTCCGACTCTTGGTTTTGGTTCAGGTAACAAAACCCACAGTTTCATGGGTTCGAACCCTGAGAGTCGGGCTCTGCACGCCCTGCACACTGGCCATGTGGAGCCTGCTTGGGATTCTCTCTCTCCCGCTCTCTCTGCCCTTTCCCCTCTTGTGCTCTGTTTCTTTCAAAATAAACAAACTTAAAAAAAAAAAATAAAAACAATGATCAAGAAAACTTCAAAAAGGAAAAATGTCAATCACATATTAATTATACTACAAAGTTACTATAAATATCAGTAGTATATTTTCTCATGAAATAGAGAAAAACAGAAACAAAACAAAAACCCAAAACATAAATGGAATAGATTTGAGAGTCCTCAAACAGACTTGCTTACCTATGGAGACTGAGCATATGACAAAGGTGATGGTTCAAGCAGGAAAGAAAGATGGATTATTTAATTAATGGGTGTGGGGCTACACGTTATATATGGATTAAAGAAAATCATATACGTGGCCATACACCAGACAGGGTATGAATTTACAGTATTAGAAAAGTACTTAAGAGAACAGGAAGTAATTTTTGTACTGGGGAGCCTTCCTTAGTGAGGCCTGGAAGCCAAAAAGAAAACCATCAACAGATTTGACAAAAAAAACCCCACAACAACAAACCAGTAATAGAAGGGGCAAAGATAAAAACAGGTAATTCAAAGAGAAAAGACACAGAAGTGGATCTTAAACATATGAAAAACGCTCAGCCTCACCAAAAATTAGAGAGCAGGAAAGTAAAATAATCACTATTCTCTGCCCATTTCACGAAGAGCAAAAACACGACTAAGCCACAGCGGAGGGAAGGCCCAGGAGAAACGGGCACTTCAGTAGCCACCGGTGGAGGGAATGCACATCAGAACAGCTTTGTGTGTGTGTTTGTGAATACATTTAAAAACCCTAAAAGGCTACAAACACATCAGTGGTTGCTGGAGGGCCAAAGGAATATTATATAGGGAATTTAACTTTCTCTGGAGTTTTGTACAATGTTTTCATAATAAGCACACCCTGTCAAGGAAATACATTTTACTATTCCAGTAACATAGACTCTGAGATCTAAACTCGATGTTCACAGAGTGCTTTTAAGCTATCTCCCTAGTTCTTGGCAATGTTATCTCAGAAAAGTGAACCCCAATTAAATGAGGGGTATTGGTAACTGATCTGTGGGAAGCCTGACACAAGAAATGATGCTTCAATTCTACAACCTTTACCCCCAAAGGACACTTTCACTCCTCAGTCATTTCTTATAGGACGGCTGCTTTAAGGATGTGGGGGAGTTAGGCAGGAAGGTGGCACAACATATGCCTAGCCTCTATATCACTGTTTGTTGAACTGTCCATTAGTAGATAGTGAAATAAATGTAGTGGGCATCAGTGGGCTATAACTAGAATTATTTCTACACAATATAATTGAACAGCATTAATCAAATGTATGCATCAAGCACTGTAATGTGAAATGTTTTTGAAACCTTCTCCCCAGAGAGATAGTATATTAATTTAGAAAACATTTACAGAGTCTTTTTATGTACCAGGCACTGGAGATACAGCAATGAACAAAACTGATAACAGTGCTATCACGAACTTTACTCTTATCCTGGTGGGAGACAACATTCACTTATAATCACCTGTATAAAAAGTTAAGGAGAAAAATAAATCTAGGCAAGAGGATGGGTTTGGGTGGGGGGGGGAGGCTATGTGTGTCCACGTGCACTTGTAAGGGCCTAGGAGGGAAAAAATCAGGAGCTATTTGGAACACGTTAAGTTTGAGATGCCTAATAGACATCTAAGAAAGGAGATGTTGAGTAAGCAGCCGGATATGTGCACATGGGGAGAAGAGAGCCTCGTTGGAGTGAGTTCCAAAAAGAACGAGGGGAAGAGAAAAACCAGAGACAGAAATTACGAACAGTCCTATCTGAGGACTTTTGCCAAAAGGAAACAGAAGGACTGAAAGCTGGAAAAGATAACAGTCATGAAAAATGACAATCAAATGGGGAAAAATGAGTGACATTCGGGAAAAAAAGAACTGCTGAAGCAGTGTTCTTGAGTGGGCCTTGGCTAGCAACTTGGAGTTCATCCACAATAGCGAGGAGAAGGCTGAGTTCATGGGCACAGCGCAGGTAGGTGGGTCTGTGTGGTGATGGAAACCTGTGAAAATGCTCCTGTTCGCCTTTGAAATTTCCTGAAATAGAGACCAAGGCTATCACATGAGAATGAAGACAGGAAAGGTGGTGCCTGATTACAGAGCAAGAAGGTGTAACACAGTGGTACAGGGAAGTGGAGAATGAATGGATTGGAAACAAAGTGTAACTGTCAAGTGGTTAGAAGTTAGTGTCCAAGAAACTAATGAGACTAGTTAGCCGGGCTCTGGGTTTTTCAACCAGCAGGATGGAGTAGATAGTTAGAGTTGACCTATGGGTTAGCCACAAAAGTGTGACGAAGCAAGAGAGGGGGCAGGAGTTGAGTGTGCATGCCGGGGTGATGAAAATGACAATTATAATGGTTAGAATTAAAGCTGGGCAAGGACGAAAGTAGGACCACAAGAGGGGTGAGAGTACAAAGACAGCAGGACCAACGGATTATAGAACTGATGGGACAAATAAATCATTAGTATTAGCAACTAGAGGGCGTGAGTTGGAAGGATGGGAGGACAACCAACCAAATGCATGACACTGAGATTCTGGAAGTGGTTCCAGGTACTGGTAACGACCAGGTCCTGGGTGTGACTATGGGAGTGAGTAGCTGAAGTAGAGAGGAAGCAAGAACGGAGAGGCCAGGATGTGTGTGGGGGTGCACTCGCATGTACGGACAGGTCAACTGGTTTACAAAACTGGTAAAAACCACTGCTCCAATGCTTCTCAAGCTTTTCATATGAGTCACTGGGAGATCCTGTTCAAATGCAGAATTTGACTCAGTAGACTCTTTAACAAGCTCCCAGAGAATAAAGATGCTGCTGGTCCAGTATAACAGCACTTAAATACACCCAACGTTCTACTCTGGACCTTCAGTGTAATTATATCCGGGAAGCTATCTGTAAATTGCCTCTTTGATTACTATTGTTAACAATTCTCACTGAGATAGTAGTCAAAGGGTAATGAGGAGTATTTCACGGACTCATCCTTGTCTTTTATTTCCTCTGTTCTATCATTTAATACTTGGTCATGACCTGACCTTAGCGTTCTCACCTTCTTCTATTCATCAGGCAAAGTATGCAGCAGAATCAAGATACTGTCTTACTCACATCTATTGCAGCAAACATTCCAATGTTCCTTGAAAACAAATACATGCTAATGACCAGAAAAATAAACTGTCCGGATGGGTGTGGTAAGGTAGAGCAGTCAAGGTGGAACCAGAAAAACAGAAACCATATTTAAATATTTAAAACAGAGGCAATTTAATGTAGGGAGTTAGTTACAGGAAAGAAAAAGCTGAGAAGCTCAAAGAAGGGATGGTAAAGAAGCGGAGACACTGGCACCAGCCGGAAAGTGCTGCCATCTCTAGGCTGGGGGTACACAGAGAGAAACCAGGGTTAGCAGAGACAGACCATCAGTGGGCCTGTCACCACCAGGGGTGGGGCTGGAGTCTTACGAGGACGAGACAGAAAAGAAGTCCCTTGGCTTCCCTTGTGCTTTTAGCTTCCTACCTCCTGGAGGGAAGCCACTGGTACAGCTGCCTGAGTTGCAGTTTTCCAAACAGCTCCCTTTGGTCCAACCCCTTCTCTCTCCACAAGTATAGCCCATGCCGCTCAGATGTGCCATAACACCTTAGAAATTTCTATGAAAGCTTCAATGAGAAAAGGAAGACACTTTTGTTTAATTGCCTACGCTAAAAACCACTGTGTGGTTAGTTGTGTCAGGACTGAATCAGGCTTAAGACACCGCTACCGAGGTTCAGACTTACTGGGCAAAGAGCAGATCGTACACAAAACTGAGCTCACCAAAGTTAACCTATGAAATGGGGACCAGCATGAAACAACAGTACCTGTCTCACCCTTCATTACTGTATATACGGAATTAAATGAAATCAATTAAAATGGAATCGGAATATTCTGACAGGATAGCCACCTGGGAAAAGATTTCAAGGTATCTACAAAATACATGTGGCTTGATTGAAAACTATTAATTTATCTAATAATTTGATTAACAAACTCTGTTTGATTTGGTATTTTAAAAATACATAGGACATGAGACTCAACTTGCTTAACGGTGATCTAATGATACCTGTGAAAAATAAGCAGTCACTGGCTGAGAAGATACACCAACCTATTAGTTGTAAAATCTAAGTAGATTTCAGTCTAACAGTTACCGGTAACGGTCTCATTTATTCTTTGCAACTTGGGACACTAAAACTGCCTCCTGGCAGTTTTTCTCGATTAATAATTACTATCTAAGTAAACCGAGAGCGTGTATCATGCTGCCAGGCACTGTTCCAATATTTCACATTTATTAACTCATTTACTGCCCACAGTAACTTTGTAAGATTGGTACCACTCTTATTCTCATTTTACAGATAAAAGAATCTGAGGCATGGAGTGGTAAGGTGGATTACCCAGCTAGTTAGTGGCACAGCCTTGATTTGAACTCTGGCAAGCTGGTCAGTCTCTGCTCTTACCCCTGTGCTCTCTTGTTTTGCAATCATTTGTTTCATCATTAAATACAATCAAAATCTTAAATATGTCTTCTTGCTGTTTTCTGACCATTTTTATAAAGTTGGATGATATTACTTTCACTATACTTGTATTTTTTTTAAGTGATGAAACTAACCTCTGTACAGCAACAAATCTAGTGTCACTGATTCTTTCTGACTCATCACTAATACAATGGATCCTCTCTAGCACATTCCATTTCCACTCCCCCCAAATTTTTAATGTTTCTCATTTCTTGTAGAACACTTACCGATAGTAAGGTCATGCACTGGCTGAAACCTCTTGTCTGTAAACTGTAGCAATAAGCATGATTTACCAACACCTGAAAGTTAAAAAAAAAAAAAAAATCATGAGACAAAACTCACAGAAATTAAGAAACACTTTACAAAAGCACACAGAAAAGAGGCAGCCAGGGTTTCTGGTGCTCTGTGAACAATCTATCAGAATTTCTCGGTGTTATAATTTCTTGGGAAATTACGGGATTGATGATTTATTTGAGAGAGAGAGAGACAGAGAGAGAGGGAGAGAGAGAGAGAAATATCTTAAGCAGGCTCCATGCAGTGTGGAGCCACTGGGATCATGAGTTGAGAAGCTTAACCACGCAGGCCACCCAGGCACCCAGGGATTGATGATTTATGTAGAAGGTGTTAATCAATCCCAAACACCTTCTCATCCATTGTTATTCATTTGATATTCTAATCCGAAAGATAAGTGGCAGGAACTCCTTCCTACAAGACACCTAAGCCTCTTTCTACCACAGTACTCCAGCCATTAAGGGTTCCTGCACTTTGTTTTTCCTGTCACAGTGAAAATATGTAAAAACAAGGTAATCTCTTTTTGTAGTTTATCTTACCTACGAACAAACTAGCAGTTAAGTGCTGGGATCAACTTCGGTCTATTTTCTGGCTAATTCATTTCAGGATCGACTAATCTGAATTGTGTCCCTTCAGGGGCACCTGGGTGGCTCAGTCGGTTGAGCGTCCGACTTTGGCTCTGGTCATGATCTCACAGTTCATGGGTTCGAGCCCCGCATCAGGCTCTGTGCTGACCGCTTGCTCAGAGCCTGGAGCCTGCTTCGGATTCTGTGTCTCCTTCTCTCTCTGCCCCTCCCCGGCTCACGCTTTGTCTCACTGTGTTTCTCAAAAATAAATAAATGTAAAAAAAAAAAAAAAATTAAATTGGTCCTTTCCCTCTACTACCAAATTTCACTTCACTAAGGTCATGAATAACTTCCTTGGCCCTAAATTAAAGACAAATTATCTGTATTCATCCTACCTGTCCTATTGAGAACTGGTTTACTGAACACCACACCATTTTCCTACTCATTTTCAGGCCCTTTTCTTCATATATGCCTCCGACTGCTTCCTTGAGAGCACCCTGCACTTGGTTCACCCTTTCACTCAAAAGGCTCTACTGAATGCTAACTGTGCTCTGCACTTGGGACTTGAAGACACAATCCTGTGGAATGCTTCCTTCGAGTACAGGTAGAGAAAATAAACAGAATGAATGCCAAATAATCTATACGCACTGCAATTTAGAATTATAAATATTGCCTTTTGAAAGAAGAGAGTACTGTGAGGAAGAGTAAGAAGATACGTAATCTAGACTGAAGGGCTGGAGAAGGTCTTTCTGGAGAAGTGACACTTGAACCAAGATGTTCAATGTCTTCTAGATTATAAACTCAACGCAAGAAGGATGACGAATATCTTGTTGTCTTATGCCAGAGATAAGGCCATTAAATGATTCTGGTGAACAACTGGCCCTAGTATCAAATGTCACAAAGATTGTCAAAATGCCCAGTAAACAAATCAAAGAAATCTGTGTGTGTGTGTGGTTATGGTTTGGGAAATACTTTATTTGTTCAATGTTTTTGGAATGTTTTAACCAAAATAAACTGGAATTTCAAAACATCTGACCTGAGTTTTCTTCTCTTTTCTTTGATCTATGATTTCTTTTTTTACATTACAAAAGGTGTAAAGCCAAACTCATTTTAGCAGATTTCTAGCTTCTTTGAAAAGCCTTTCAGGTCTGCGACAGAAAGGAAAATTATTATTTTTTAGGTGTCAAAGTACAAAATAAGTGAACATTCGCGATATGACTCTTCAGGGTTATTATTATTATTATTTTTTAAGATTCAGAAAAAAAAAATTAAGTACAATCTATACGCCAACATGGGACTCGAACTCATGACCTCAAGATAAAGAGTCACATGCTCTACTGACTGGGCCAACCAGGCACCCTGAGGGGATTTCTTTGTTTTTTAAAAATATTTTTCAGGGCAGTTATTTCGTTTCACAGCAAAACTGAGCAGAAAGGACAGCCAGTTCCCATATATTCCCTGCCCCACAGGAGCATAGCCTCTTCCACTATCACCATCTGCACCAGAACTGGAATTCTGACTACAATCCATGAACCCGCAATGACACGTCGTCATCGCTCAAAGTCCATGGTTCACGTTAGGGTTCGCTGTGGTGTTTGCCTATTCTATGGGTTTTGACCAATGTAATGTGTTCCCCGTTATGGTATCATATGGAAGAGTGTCACTGACCTAAAAATTCCCTATGCTCTCCGTCCCTCTCTCACCCCTAACCCCTGGCAAGTGCTGATCTTTTTACTGTCTCCACAGTTTTGCCTTTTGCAGAATGCCATATAGCTAGAATCAGCCTTTTCAGACTGGCTTCTTTCACTCAGTAATATGCCTTTAAGATTCTTGTGTCTTTTCTTCATTTCTGTTTTTTAATAGCCCAAATTTTCCCATACAGAAAAAACACGTAATTAATTAAACATCACAGATTTTATTACTGGGAGACCTCAAGAATCACCTAACAGTCTGGTAAGCATGTAAGTGATACAAGAGCCTGAAAACCGTTTCTTACCGCACAACGGGATGTACTGTTTTAGTACCACTAACACCACTTACTCTGACCAGGTGCAACTTACGGATAGAATAAGGCTTGCTCTTTGGTTCTTCGTTTAAAGACTCTGTATTCTTTCCTCAGGTAACCACAGTACTTTTCAAGTTAGAGGGTTTTGGTAATTTGCATACTCTGCAGGACATCCTTTATTTAATATCTGTCCTCTTTATGATATAAAATTGGCAAAAAGCTCCAGCGTTTCTTTCACCAATTCTCCAGAGTCTCTCTTAATCCGTGATATTCAGAAAGTTCTTTAAAAGCATCCTCCCTATCCTTTCAGCTGTTTGTTAGTCTAAATGTCAGATCCCCATTCATCAATGGCAAAAATGTGCTCTGACATTTTTACATACTTGATGAAATTCTATATATTTTGTGCAATCTGTAACTGATTTATCTTTCATTTTCATGGAAAATAATAGTCAAATATGTTGATTTTCCTGGAGGGAGACACTTACAAAAAATAACTGAGGAATAGTTTAAGTGGCCAACGAATATTTTCATGTTATTATAACTGTATTATCAAGGACTTTGAAATATTTAATAATTATGATTCCCAACAACAGTTAAACTTGTACAGAGCCTCCCTCACGCCAGATATCGTTCTAAGCAATTTCCATATGTCAGCTCATTTAATGCTAAGAACAGCATAGCATAGGGGTTAGATTTCTGACTCCAAAGCCACACCACACTCCTTGGGTTCCAATCCCAGCCTTGCTAATCACTATCAACAGAACCTCAAGTGAGTTACCTTCTCAGTGCCTCACTTTCCTAATGCGTAAAAAGGAGGAGAACAATAGTACCTATCTCATATGTTTATTGGAAGTATTAAATGAGTTCATGCATTAAGTGCTTACCACAGTGTCGGGCACATAGTAAAATTCAAAAAAGAACTCAACAAATGTTTGTTACCATTACTACTACCACTATCATTTATTACTCTATGTATACTTTAAGCTCCTTAAAAGCACGAAGCACCTTTTATTCATTTTCAGTTTGACCACATGTACTTCCAACGATTTTTTCAAAATTCAACCTTGCTAGAAATATTTGGATACGTACTATGTTCTGAGGTTAAGCAACTGGAATGTATCAGTCAACAATAAGATAAAGGCCCTGACCTTCTGGAGAAGAGATCATGAACAAACTTTTTTATTCTTTTAAGTGTGTGCGCGCACATTTGCACGTATGTGTGTATAGTGGGGGAAGAGGGGAGTGTGACTGACAGATGGACGGACGGACGGATGGATGGATGGATGGATGGATGGATGAAGACGTGGTAGTGTAGAGTGTTACTTGGTATGGTACAGAGAAAAAGCAGAGCAGGGGCGGCTGGGCGGCTCAGTCGGTTAAGCCTCCTACTTCAGCTCAGGTCATGATCTCGCGGTTTCTGAGTTCGAGCCCTGCGTCGGGCTCTGTGCTCACAGCCAGGAGCCCAGAGCCTGCTTCGGATTCTGTCTCCTGTCTCTCGATGATAAACAAACTTTTTTTTTTAAAAAAAGGGGGGGGGAGAAAAAGCAAAGATACGCAATGCTGGGGGGAAGGAAAAAGAGTGTGGTGTTTAAACGAGGTGGCTGCTCACTGAGAAGGTGAAGTTTAAGTAACAACTTGAGGAGAGGAGGAAGCAGGCAGGTGGATTACTGAGAGAAGAACACTTTAGGCTAAGGAAACGGCCAGAGGAAACGCTGTCCGTGGGATGTGTGGGAGAAACTGCGATGAGGCCAAATATGGCTGCAGCTCAGAAGGCAGGGGAGAGTCCTGTCCCTAAGAGCAGAGGTTGCAGGCATCATAGGGGCCTGGTCACACAGACCCCACAGGACTTTTAACATTTACTTGTGATAAAATGGCCGACTCACTGGCGGGTCTTGAGCAAAGGAGTGACAGAATTGGAAGTAAATTCTAAAATAGTCGTTCTGGCTGCTGCAGTGAGAATAACCTGTGAGCACAAGCAGAAGCAGAGAGACTGGTTAAGGCGGCTTTCCTCAGTCAGGCAAGGAATGGTGTCTTGGACCAGGGCAGCAGCAAGGAGGGGTCTGAAGTGACTGAATTCTATGCCCGGTTTGAAGTAGAGCCAGGATAATCTGTTGGTCGTGTGGATGTGGGTTTTGAGAGGAGAAAAGCATGAAGCACAGCTCCAATGTTTCTGCCTGATCAAATGGGGGAATCCGTGAGATGGGGAAAATTCTCAGGAGAGCAGGAAAGATCATCAATTCCAGTCCAGTTATCTCGAGTTGGGGTGAGCAGGCAATAGAATATAGGAGTCTGGTATGTAAGTTTAGACTACAGGGAAGATGTTGAGGTCGGAGATAAAAATTAGAACTGTCAGCATAAGATGGTATTTATTTTTTTATTATTTATTTATTTTTTTAAATGTTTATTTATTATTGAGAGACAGAGAGGCACAGAGTGT